TGGAGTGGGAAGGGGTGGGATACATCCTGGGTTGCCCTGACATTTAAAGTGATCTTGGGCTTAAAATGTTTGGAGGCCACTGGTATAGACGTATAGTCTGAGTGTAGTCACTGTGTGATCTGTATTGGCCCTATCTGTTCTCTGTGACAGTGAGTGTAGTTGTCACAAGATTAAACTCCACTGCCCAAGCATCACAGCGGCTGGGAGACCTTTAAGTTAGCCTCGGTAGTGCTGAAATACCTTTTCCTGGTTGCCTCACTTGGTGAGCACACCTAGTTCACCATTGTGTGCAGCTTCGCAACTGACCATGCCAGCTCTGTGCAGACTGGTGCTAGAAGCTCTCCTGGTCCTGTGGGGGAGAAGAGGCTGTGCAAGAACAGCTGTGGACTAACCCTAGAAACGTGGACATCTACAAACAGACTGTGCAAAGAGGTGCAACAGTAATCTGCAGCCAGGTGCAAGTGAAAGAACTTCAGGAATACCACAAGGCCAGGGAATGCAACAATAGATCTGAAGCTGTGCCGCAGACCTGCCACTTGCACAACCAACTGCCTGTCCTACTTGGCAGAGACCTCACCAGCAGCTGCCAATCACTGCAGATACGTTGGAGGAGCCTGACACAGAGACCCCACCATGAACAGCAAGGAGTAGAAGGAAGAGGCGACGTGGGGCTCCCGTCATGTCTTGCAGCCGAACCTGCTTGAGACTGTTAGTCTTGCTGTCAAGTGCAGAAGAGCCTGGTGAAAAGCAAGTGGACTTGGGTAAGTGTGTACGAATGTGTGTAAGGACCCTGAAGCCTGAAAAGTGTTGGTTCCACCTTACGGCCAACCACTAAGTTAACAAGACACAGGCATCAACTTTTCATTGTTTGCTTGTATGAGAACAGTAGATTTGACAGGTGATTTTCATTCCCCCATTGGGCTAGCTGGCGTATGTAGAACACTTTACACAGGGATGTCCTTTAGATTCTCTTGAGATACCTTGTTAGAACGTCCATGGAAAGGGTCTGCACGCCTCTTCTGAAGCTTTCTAGTGATGCCTGCCTTCCTCCATGCTAGGATGCTTTCCCATGTTATCTGTGATGACTGCAATGGGGCGAGTCACAGTCAACAGATTAAACAGACTAGTAGCAAGTGAGCTCAGATGGCTTTGGGACACTGGTAGCAACTGTGTCTGTGCCATTCTGCCCCTCAGCGATGAGAGATTCGCTAAAATCACCATTGCCTTTGGGAAGTAGTGCCAATACTCAGTGCTGTTGTCCTGTGTTTGTATCCATGGAATAGAGATTGAAGTTTTAGAGGTTCATGCAAGCAACAGGAAATCCTCTCCTCTCGCTGGCCATATTCACAATGACTGGGGCTGGAAAGGCACTCCAAAGCCCAAGTGTCATTCAATGTCATATTAAAAGTGCTTAACTTCTCTTCCTTCCCCTTGTGACTGTAAATCCAATAATACATCTGTTTTTATCTGTAGCTGCTGCCATTTGTGGCGTGGAGGTGTGACCCCCTCCAGAACACCTAACCTCAAGGCGTGATACACTCTGCAAGTACCCTTCTGACCAGTGCTGCATTGGTGTGAACAAAGGGCTTGGAGCAGTATGACTAAGAGCCTGGAGAGAGACAGGGGGATAGGCCTAGGAGTCTCAGCAGTACAACACAATGGGTGTGTTGACACTACAATTAAACACCCCTGGCTGGCCTGTTGATTTTAATTGCTATACAGACATTCAGCCATGGTGGTTTAATTGCTGTGTAGACAATACCCAATGGCCCTTAGCAAACCCAAAAGCTGCAGATTCTGGTTGATCTCTGTCCAAAAAGACCAGACTCTCCATCTTCTGCAGTCCCTGGAGAGCTCCATGGTCACTACTTCCCACATTCCTAAAGATGCCACAGGGCCCATCGTTACCTCACCACTCCACGCCAGGGGATAGCAAGGAAAAGCACAGCTCCACATACACTGACCTGTGAAGACTGCGGCTGGTATGCATGTAGCCACAATGGGATACATTTGTTTACTACTTTTATAATTTTTAATTTTCACTCTGTTTAGTTAAAAACTTGTATAACACCTGGTTCTGCTTTTTAGGGAGGTGTTGCATATTGATTTTCTGCACTGTTTTCTACTCAATAAAAGTTCTCTTTTTGGAGACTCAAAGTTTTTATTCACAACAAATATTGCAGGATGCACAGCACTTATCAAAACACACCAAGTACCACATAATAGCTTCAGGAAAACAATCATATTTATCAGTGTACAGTAAGTGCTAGTACTTAGCAGCTCCCAGACTGTTTGCCCCTTTGCCTCATAGGTGTTATGCAGGACACAAGCAACGCTATCACCACTGGGATATCTTTCTCACGGAGATCCAATCTAGGGAGCAAAAACAAGTCAAATGTCCTGTAGAATCTGTCAGCACATCCCACTGTTGTTCTGTACCTCTTGTGCCAGCAGTTGAATCTTTTCTTGGTGTTTGGGCAGCTGGGTCCCATTTCAGTATTGCCAGTGTTAATCTGTTGATTGGAAAAGAAAGTTTATCGTTACAGCTTTGTACCTTACCTGACCAGCCCACACTGAAATCAGTGAAGCATCTCTGATCACCCATCCACACTTGCAGGACTGTAGAACAGTTACCCTTTCTGTGGATATACCTAGTGGCAAGGAGGTCTGGTACCAAAATAGGGAGATTCTAACTGTCACCCCCTTGCTGCCAATCCACCCGCTGTGTCTGCATATTACCAAGAATCAGGCTTGCCTAACAGAATACTATTAATGGCCCTGCACAGTTGTATGAAGTGGCCCCACTGTGGGATTTCCCACTGACCAGTAGCAGTACAGCGCTGCAGGTTTCCAATGTAGATTACTACTCCCATCTTCACTGTCAATGTTGTTGTTTGGGTCTTTCTGTCCTGGAGGACTGGGGCAAGTCTGGTGCAAAAATCTCGGAATGTCCCTTTTCTCAGCCAAAAGTTATGCCGCTACTGCGTGTCATCCCAGATCTGCATTAAGATGCAATCCTGCCAGTCTGGGCTCATTTTCTCAAGTCCAAACAAGATGCAGCTGCTCCCTGAAAGCCATAAATAACCTTGAATTGTTTTCTCACTGTGTTCCTCAAGTTGTCCTTAAAGAAATCCTCATGTCCTGGATGATGCAGCACTTCCTTATGGTCTGTAAATAAAGGAGAATTGTGCATCCTATTGGCAGCATTCATTAAGCTAGCTCAGAGCTCTGTGGCTCCCATGCTTCTGTCAGACTGCAAACACCAAAAAGTGTCCTGTGAGTTCATGGGATTTTTTACAAGGTGCAAAAATCATGGGCTAAGTGTAAGGGTGGAGAAAGTTGCACGCTGGGAACTTGACCGCTAGCTCCCAGAGATCTCTGGACACAAGTCCTTGCTCTTCCACAAAACATTACAATGTCAGCATAAGCACTCCTGCTGAGTACATGTAGCGCGCACACAAATGATACACAGATTTGGTGGGAGGTGCTCTGAAGTAACTTGCATGAACCAATGCTTGTAGTGTAGATGTGGTCTCTGTAGAGAGTGCCTTGAAGCAGAATCATGGTGTGTGGGGAGGAAGATACCTTAGTAGCCTGGACACCTGACTGGAATAGATTACAAAATCTTGCAAGTATTTCTTAAATTCTCTGTTAGCCTGAAATTATTATCTGCCTTTTGTGTTGTGTATCTTGTCTTGCCATGCTCCACACTGAGTAGCAAAGCATCCCTAGTTTCATCTTTTGATACTCTAGCTGTTTGTACTCTTTTCAGATAATACTGAGTGACCGTGCTTTAGAAGTGCTGTCTGTTAATTCAGAGATTTGGTGCGTGGAGAGCTGTGAAGTTAAAAGATCCAGAAGAATCAGATAATTAAAATGCTAGAAAATGTTTTCTTGATAACAAAAGAAAATACATTTATTTCCCACATAATAGACTTTTTAAGGAGTTTTTAAAATATTGACACACACAATTGTTGTGAATTTTATTGTGCCCCCTTTACAATATCCTGTAGTTTATTATCTTGTGAACAGTAATACTTCTCATCTTCTCCTGATGTTCAGGGAATTTTTTTAATAGCACATAAGTTACTTCAGAGGAGTCTCTTTCTTTGGGAACTTTATTTTGCCATTATCACTCATGAGGGGTATTGGTTTAAATCACTACTTACCAGTAATTTGACCATAATTTGTCAAACTTGCTATCAAATGTAGATTTCAATCCATACTGAGAAGCTTTAGTTTCCATGCAGTACTCCACAGTAATTGGTATTCTGTTTTATGACTTGGAAAGGTATCAGTTTTTGGAAGAAGCTTTTCAGAATCAGAAGGGTGCAATAGAGAATCTTTTGGCCAAACTTCTTGAAAAGAAGAATTATGTTAATTTTGCAGCTACTCAAGTCCAGAATAGGTAAGTACCTACAAATAATATTCAGGTATGGATGTGCATTGTGCAGTTTAATAAAAGGTATTGTTCATACTTTTGTAGGCTCCTAATTAGAATATGTATAAATTCTCATTGCTTCCCTATGTCATTTATACTGGATTTATAGTTGGAATGCTTTATACTTTTTCTTGTGCATCGGACACTGTTACAACTACATAATGTTAAAGCAGATCACCTTTTATGCAACTGCTTGTACTATTAAAGGTGTTATGATTTACAATAGAGTAAAATAACCTCAGCTGCTCTGGTCTCTGAGTGAGAGCTCCGGATGACAGACGTACTGGCCATATAATTTGACACACACCTTACAGATCAGAAAAGACTGGAGACAATAAAATAAGAAATTAGAAGAACAGAGAATTTATATTTCACGCTAATTCAGGCAAAACATGGAAGTGCCGTGTTAAAAAGATGAACAGAAAAATCAAACAAGTTATCAAATGAGACTCTGTAAACTTTCTCCTTTATGTACCAATAATTCTAGGTGGCTTATCTTCAGCATTGGGTTAGCAACTTTTTATGTGTTTGAAACTAAATAAGCCACACAATTCTGCATTTCTCAAATAACTTTAAAAATACAGAAGTTGCTGCTGTACCTTTTAAGGGGGCGGAAAATGGCTGTATAGTATTTGGAAGCATAGTAGGAAGTGACTGGCCTGATAATACATTTCTCTCTCTTTTTTTTTTTTTTTTTCTTATAGGATAAAAGAAGTAAATGAAACTAACAAACGAGTCGAACAGGAAATCAAAGTAGCTATTTTCACCCTCATCAATGAAATCAATAAAAAGGGAAAATCACTCTTACAGCAGCTTGAGGTACAGTTAAGACCAAAACAAATTAGTTTTGTTCACAAACAAGCTGTTTCAAACACCTATTGAGAATTGCATTCCATACTTGAATGTGGAGTTTTCTGTAGTAACGCAGGGCTTTCAGTGGTATATCACTCAAATGTGATGTTACGCTTGGAGTTAAATCTCCTGGGATCTTTTCATTCATCTGAAATACTATGGTTATCCTAACTTGCACATCTGTGTGTTATAGTCCCATTTTTAAACTTGCTCTTTATTATAGATGTTTGGAAGAAGCCTTTTCTGACTTAAACTGAAAAATTCCTACCTTGGAAAAAGTGATCACAGTAGTCTGTGATAACCCTTAACATACTTGAACCCTCATTTTCTCAAGACTAAACACACATCTAAACTTTTTTCACTTTTGTTCTTCTCTGGACTCTCTTACATTTGGCCACATCTGTCCTGGTACAGAGTCCAAAACTGGACACAGTACGCCAGTTGAGGCCTCACCAGTGCTGAGCAGAGTGGGATGATTGTCTCCTTTTCTTAAGTATGACATTCCTGTTCTACACCCAGATATTCACCCTTTTTACAACTGTATCCCATTGACTTGACCTCGTTAGCAGTACATTGATTGGCCTGTCAGTTATTCCCCATTTTCTATTTGTGCATTTGATTTTTCTTTCATAGTGAAGTACTTAGTACCTAACCTCAAGATGATTCTTACCAACAACCACAGGACATATCACACTAATACCAACCCTGGTATCTTCCCTTGCAACAAACCCCGTTGCAAGCTTTGTCCACATATTCACTCTGCTGATACCATTATTGGACCTAACCAAGTGAGTTATAAGATCAAGAACACATATTCCTGCGCATCCAGAAATATAATCTATGCTATCATGTGCCGAAAGTGTCCGTCTGCTATGTACATTGGACAAACATCTCAGACACTTCGCCAAAGGATTAATGCCCACAAAACAGATATCAGACAAGATCACAAAGAAAAAACAGTTTCTTGCCATTTTAACCAGAAAGGACACTCTCTCAATGACTTGACCACCTGCATTCTGCTACAAAGACCTTTTACATCTGCACTTGAAAGGGAATCCTCTGAACTGTCATTCATGTTAAAATTCGACACTTGCCAACAAGGACTTAACAAACATTTGAACTATCTCACCCATTACCAAGACAGTTTCCCCAATTATCACCTCTAATACCATTAACTCACAAACATCCCACTCTCCCTACCTCTAATATCATCAATTCACAGACACTTACCTTCCTTCCTCCCCCTTCCCACCCCCCCGCATCCCCCTTCTGTTCTGCAATGTGATTTGTCCTTTTCATATTTGTTCATTTTTTTAAATTGTATCCTTTGGTATATATGGTTGTGACTATTTTCTTCCACTATTTGATCTGAGGAAGTGGGTCTGGCCCACGAAAGCTCATCACCTAATAAACCAACTTGTTAGTCTTTAAAGTGCTACATAGTCCTGTATTTTGTTTCAGTACTTAGTACTTGTCTGTATTGAATTTCAGCACATTGAATTTCTGACCAGTTCTCCAGTTTATCCTGGTCATTTTGAATTCGAATCCTGCCATCCTACCTTTGTCATCTACACACTTCATGAGCATATTATTCACCCCATTATCCAAGTCATTAATGAAAACACTGACTAGGATGAGGCCTAAGACCCCCACTAGATATGTTCTTCCATTTTGACAGCAAACCATGATTTGTTCTTGAGAAAATCCATATCAGCTAGTTATCACATTGTTGTTCTTGAAATCTTTCAAAATTATCACATTTTTCTAGGTATTTGACTGGTCTATAATGTCCTGGGTGTTCTTTCTCCCTGTGTTTCCCTTCTGAAATTCTCTAGAACCTCATGTAGTATTTGTGTTTCAGTGGACTAGATAGGCCCGAAGAATCAAAGAGGTTGACATGACCCCTAAAATGGTCCAACGTTAAACAGTTTTCAACATAAACATGATATACAGAGATTTCAACCTGCTTAGCACCAAAGCAAACATTAAAATTCTTTTGAATCTTTTTTTAAAGACAGAGGAAAGAAAAACAGTTAGAGCATTTGAAACATAAAGTATCAACTAAGGCTTTAACTTTAACAACCTATATCCCTTATTCATTTAGCTATAGAGTTTTTGGAAGGGGGGGAAAAAGGGAAATAATGAAACCCAGCAAAGATAGAAAATGCAACTTCTGTCTCTGGTGTTATTCACTTGCATTCTCACTGCTGGAGAGAAACAGTTGGGGAATCGGAGACAGACTTGCCTGAGACCATGCAGGACTAAAACCTAATCTCCTCACTCCATGCCCTTTGCTTATTCCAGTTAAGTACTGCACATCCACAGCTCCAGTTGTCTTCATTTACATCTGGGAATGCTCAACACTTCTCTAAATCTTGCCTCCGAGGTCTCTAGTTAGGCTCCCAAAGTGAACATGAAATTAGTGGCCACATGCCAAAATTTTGATTTTAAGTAAATTGCTCAGTGTCATAGTAAGACAAAGTTATAAGCTAAGGGATAGAATTGAACCTGTCCCTAGTGACGTTCAAATGTCTTGAACACTGTGGTGGTTAAGACTACTTCTCCACACGCCCTCAAGATGCTAGAGGAAATTTGGAGGGGACAAACAAGTGGCCTTACTCACTACACAAGGCCACTTTATTCTGAGAGCTCCATCCTTCCTGTGCACTGAATAAGTTCTGTTGAAAAAATAGTATATGATGTTGCAGTTAAGACTGCCTCATGCATACATGTATGAGGGCTGAGTTACGGTTGTACGAGCACCCTAAATCATGACATTTCCTGTTTGACTTGGTAACATAAATAACCTTCTAATGTAGTTTTCTAAATGTTTTGAAGGAGAAAAGATAAACAATTATCTGAAACTAACAATCATCCCCACCATGCATCACTTTTGAACCCAGAAGCTTTAGCATTGCAGTATTGTACAGACTTCTGCCACAGGACTGCCTGAAGCAGCTGGCAGCTGCAGAAAGCTGAAGTGTGTTCTACACGTGTGTTAGCCTGCTGACAGCATGTGCTGTAGTTAAGGGGGAGCCTCTGCCCTAGGTGGTGCTGAAATAGGCCACTGCCACCATTGGTCGCACCAGGAGGTGGGTAGTTGGAATTTGGGGGAGTCAGCCTAGTTCTCTCTCCTCCTCATCACCCAATCCCAGCAGTACAGCTGCTCTGGCTGTAGCTTCTGCGGCTGCTTCTGGGCTCCCAGTATAAGAAGTGCTTTGGTGGCAACATGCTATCAACATGTTACTGCCAACCTGAGCAACAAAGAGGAAAGGACAATTTGCAGCAGTTCATAACTCTGCTAAACATGAATTGACCTACCAGATTCTTCCCCAACCTCAGGACCTTTGCTCTTGAATTTTGAACAAAGAATATAGGCAGCATTAGTATTTCAAGAATCTTTCAAAAAGGCAGGTGTTAAGTAACTTCACGATGTATTGTTCTTAAACATGCACTAGAATCCTGATACTAGTATAAATGTCTTTTAAATCGAATAACTTGATTGAGCTTCTGTTTCTTTGTAGAATGTGACAAAGGAGAGACAGATGAAGCTAATACAGCAGCAGAATGACATCACAGGGCTTTCGCGGCAGGTGAAGCATGTGATGAACTTTACCAACTGGGCCATTGCAAGTGGTAGTAGCACTGCACTGCTGTACAGCAAGCGGCTGGTAAGGAAACCGGCCCCTTCCAGAATTCAGACTAGACTTGCATGCAGCACAAATTTCAGTCACTGTCATCTTGGGTAGGCGGTCAGAAGTACAAGCTTGAAATTTCTATCCATAGAGAGACTATGGAGCTGTTTGATGTATTTATGCTTTTTACTATATTTGATTCTGTGCTTTCTTTTTGTAAATAGTGCAGCTCCCCCACCAGAATGACCTGCTCTGTCGTTCCTTTATATTTGGTACCTTGGAATTACTGTGTCCCATTGATAAACATCACTCGTCCACATTTCTGTGGTGCCTGTTATATAAATGTCTTCATTTAGAATCTAGCACTCAAGTTCAACTATTTTATTTAGATTTTTAACCTAATGGCAGAAAGCATATCTGTTGGTTTTTATTTCATTTGAGAGGAAAGTGATTGGAGCACATGCTTTGTTAGACTATTAGTTCTGTGGAGTAGGAATTTCCAGGTTAACTCATTAATATGAATTCCCAGAAGTACTTCTGTGTATTTAAGTCAAGTCATATTTTCTAATGCTATCAAAGGGTGAAAGTTCTTTAAATGATTCAACTGAAAGTGAACTCTTCAACTAGTGAGTTCAAAAGACATTTAAACTGTCAGTATTCCAGATAATTATCCAGTCAAATCACCTGGATTTATAATTAAGCATAATTTATTTTTAAAGCAGAGAGATTTACATTTGTTAGTAAAATCTAAACTATATTTTTTAAGATCCAAATACGATGCTATGGGCACGAATAATATAAACCTTAAACTCTTTCCAGCAATGGTGGTATTTGGTAGTTATCTAACTGGCTATCGATATACATATTTTTATGTGATATCTGGCAGCTCTTGGCTGAACAAACTCTGCTTCTCCTAAACATGTTCACTCTGCTCAGACATTCGGTGTCATAATCCATCTTAATTTTTGTCCCATCAGATTACGTTCCAGTTGCGTCATATTTTAAAAGCACGATGTGATCCCGTCCCAGCTGCTAACGGAGCAATACGCTTCCATTGTGATCCCACGTTTTGGGCAAAGAATGTAGTCAATTTAGGTAAGAAAATAACATTTCAAGTGTTTGTAGAAAGACTGGGTTGTATGGAGTGTGTCTGCAGAGGCATCATTCTCTCGCAGGTGGAACGTCTTAAGACCTTGCTTGCCCCCTTGTGGCAAGAGCTGCTGGCCTAAGGCCACAGAGGACATCACATAGGGCTCCCCAGGACTTCAACACAGCTATCCTGAGGCACGCGTCTCCTGGCATGTACAATACGCTTGAGACTGGTATTTTCCACAGTCTGAGGATCGTTCAACAGACAGTTGCTTGGTGCAGCACTGTTCGCTATACTATTACTGTTCCCCAGCTCAGAACTACCTGCAGCATGGCCATGACGATCACAGGGCTTGGCAGTCCCTCTCTGCTTCACGGCACCTAACTTGCAGCCATTCTCATGCCCACTATGGGCTGGCCGGCCACTGAGGTCCATACCACAGATCCCCTAGTGGGGGATGCTTTCCAATGCACCAGTCTTGATGCTCCTCCATGTCTTGGGCGTCGGCATCAGTGGCCCGCATGCAGTACTGCACTGATACCAACCTCCGTTCCTGGTCTCCTGGCACTGCACACTTGCATCAGCCTTGCCTCAGACCCAGCCTCACTTCCTGCTCAAGCACCTTGTCCGATGCCTCCGGTACTGTGGTCACAGGCCTACCTAGTCCCAGTGGTACCCCTAGAACCAATGGGGGTTTCCTGTGCTGTCACCTCTGCTAAACAACCTCAAGGGCTCCCCCCTACAGGTGGCACCAGTTTCGGATGTGTTGGAGCTGGGCTGGCGTGCCTACCTTGACAATATCCGGACTGAAGGTACTTGGCCTGCTCAGGAGCTGCCCTTCCACATCAATGTCCAGGAGTTACGGGTGGTTCACAGGGCGTGAGGTCTTCCTCCTTCACCTGGCAAGCAGCGTTGTCCAGAGCTTCTGACAAAATGGCCACGATATTCTTTGTCAACCACTGGGGGTTGGTGAGCTAGGCTGGGCATGCTATGTCAGAAGGCCATCCGCCGCTGGGACTTGAGCATTTGGCAGTGTTCACCTGAGGCTTGCCTCCTCCCAGATGCAGGCAATCTCCTAGCCCGCTGAGTGAGTACTTCTCTCACCCCAAGTGGGCTGTCTGTCCACAGATCACTGCCGCATGCTTCCAGAAGCAGAGTGTCCCCCAGGTGGAACTCAGAGTTCCGCAATGGGGTCCCTGGCGGCAAAGCAGGAACTGAGTGGAGGAGGCCAGAGGAGCCCTATGTAGTGCAGCATGTGCACACCACTCCGGGGGGCCCCTGAGCTGGTTCCTCTGTGGGTACTGCTAAGGGAAAATCTTCCAGTACCAGTGCATGTGGCAAGCTCACACAGCAACACATCTTGGAGAGCACTAGTTATGGAAACACCTGTCTTTTTTGTAATGTAATGGGTGAAAGTTAGCTTTGAAAAAGTCCCTCTTCCCTGGGCACCAGTTCTCCTCAGGGGCTGCCTCTTAGCCAGGCTTTGTGCATATTGGCCAGCAGTGAAAAGGACTATAAAGAAAAATTTCACCCAGAGCCCAAATTTGCAGAGTTCCTATTAACAGTTCTTGAAGAGGAACCAAAGAAGGCGGTGCAGACTTTTCAGAGAGCATCAAAGCTAACCTTGCGTGAAAGTCCACAGTAGCTGCCTACATGGACAGAAAAGCAGGAATGTCTGTCCCCTGTTCAGCTCCGTTTTGAGCAAAGCCCAACTATTGAGCTGTCGAAGGATGCCTCCGTGACGTTCTACAGACTGTGGGAACTGCGTTGGGGCAGTTAATTGCTGTTCCTGTACCTCCGTCTCCACAGAGTAGAAACCACTATCGGATCTGCAAGGCCTTTCCAAATTCACAGCCCCTTGTGATTAATTACACAACTGTTGCACTGGAAAATTGGGAAATGTCACGTTTTCGGTTGTTTAAATCTGAAGTGTCCTGGTTGGGGCCCCATCCCAGAAGGGAATTGTATGGGAGTGAATCTGTTATAGTGGAGTCATGGGATTACTACCCTCAGTTCTCTGCTGCCATCAGAGCTGTATTATGAAGGTAGCAACTGTAGAGTTCCCTGTAGCTGCAGGAGGCTTGTGGAGGGGGTCTGAGCTCCCCCCCGGAGCACTCCTAGCCTTAAGGGGAGACCGGACCTACCTCCAAGTCACCTGCAGCTGCAGGACTGGGGCTGGTGTCTAGTCCTCCCTCCAAGAGTGGCTGCGCAGAGCAGGTAGTGACACATTTTTCCTAGCTAAGGTTGGTAGGGCCCTTACGTGGCTGTTAACTCTCAGTAGTAGCCAAGGTCTTGTGTGGACACTTAAACACCTCCCCTCTTGTATCAGGAGGCAATCTCTCCAAAGCAGCTCTAAGGCCTGGTGTATGCTTGATAGTTCTACCAATGCCACTTTCACAGCTGTTTTGGTTTTTAGACAGATAGTTTTGAGGGCATGTCCTCATGTGGATGCAGTTACACAGTATAAAGGAGGTGCCTTGCACCAATTTAGTTATTCCTCTTCCTGAACAGAAATAAGAGGAATAAAGTTCCTTTGTGCTGAGAGAACTGTGACCACGCTTGGGGGGATTGTACTGCTAGCTTAAGAGCATAAGAGTCAGACCAAAGGTCCATCTAGCCCAGTATCCTGTCTGCCGACAGTGGCCAATTCCAGGTACCCCAGAGGGAGGGATCACAACAGGTAATCCTCATGTGATCCCTCCCCTGTCACCCACCTCCAGAGAAACAAAGGCCAGGGACACCATTCCTACCCAGCTTGGCTCATAGCCATTGATGGACCTAACCTCCATGAATCTGTCTAGCTCTTTTTCGAACCCTGTTAAAGTCCTGACCTTCACCACATCCTCTGGCAAGGAGTTCCACAGGTTGACTGTGGGCTGAGTGAGTTTGTATTAAACCTCCTATTAAACCTGCTATTAATTTCATTTGGTGACCCCTAGTTCTTACATTGGGAACAAGTAAATAACTTTTCCTTATTCCGTTTTTCCATACCAGTCATGATTTTATAGCTTGGTGGAGCTTTTACTGTAGACAAGGCCTAAGGCACAACAGACAGTACTCATTTGACCCAAAAATCCATTTTAAGACTACCTCTTCCCAAAATCCATTTTAAGACTTTAATGTGAAAGTGTTTCACCAAGCTCTGGTCTGTTTATGGAGGCTGTCTTTGGGTTAAGAAAAGGTTCGTGGTATAAATTCTAATGTAAAATATGGAGGAAACAACAGTAAAACATTCAGATTTCTGTTTTGAATCAGCAGTTGTTAGGATAGAAATTGTGTAGTTCACCAGCTTGCTTTTCTCTGTTCCTTAGGTAATCTTGTTATAGAAAATAAACCAACCCCTGGCTACACTCCTAATGTAGTAGTTGGACAAGTTCCTCCAGGAACAAACCACATCAACAAAGCCCCAGGACAAATTAATCTAGCACAGCTGCGGCTTCAGCATATGCAACAGCAAGTATATGCACAGAAACACCAGCAATTGCAACAAATGAGGATGGCACAACCAGCTGGGCCTCTTCCTAGGCAAACAGGCCCTCAAATGTTACAGCAACAGGCAAGTTCCCTGACTATGTTCCTTTATATTGCAGTATAACACTAAGACTTAATCTGCTCCCCTCCAACACCAAGTTCCTGTTGGTATTGTACAGAACTAACTTCCAAGTGTGAGCAATCCAGTCTCATGAGATTTTACATGCTTTAAAGAGGGGAGTGATTGAGATTTTCTAGAGACTACATAAATTATCAGTAATTGCACCTACTTCTATGGAGGATTTGCTTTTCATTTCCTTATTAACAGCAGGATTTAAAAAAAAAATCCCAAACTCTTGTAGCCTCCTAGGTTGATCAGCATGCAGACCATACAGCGGGGTAACATGAACTGTGGGGCTTTCCAAGCACACCAGATGAGAATGGCTCAGAATGCTGCTCGTATACCAGGAATACCACGCCATAATGGACCACAGTACTCCATGATGCAGCCACACCTACAGAGACAAGTATGTACTGTATACCTTTTGCTTGCCCACTGGACAAAACTTTCTCTTAGACATTTTTAGAAGTTAATTCACAAATAGTTATCTCCACGTTTTTCAGTTCTCATAGATAAATGTGTGTAGCTCAGGCTAACTTGTTCATGTCATGTGCTGTCTGATATTTCAAAACTGCGTACGCGTGAATCTAATTACTTGTCATTGTTTTCAAACTGCGTTTTAGTCAGCTAGGAAGCTGAAGCAGTAACGACTAGTTTCGCTTTGTGGTTGCTGTGCAGCGGCTCAGTTTTTTTTTTCTTGGATACTATCGTAAATAACAATTTCATGATTTTTGTAAAACTTTTTTTAAACTAAATGTTGGTCCTGAGCTACAGCAGATATAACCCCATGTTTGAAACGAACGTGGTGCAGACCTTGGCTAAATATTCAAAATAAAGAGATGAAATAATGGGAGTTTACTTAATTAGAAAAGCAGAAGGGAAAATCTGTTGTTGTTTTTAAACCCCAGAATCCTAGAACATTAGGGCTGGAAGAGACCTCAGGAGGTCATCTGCCCAGCCCCCTGCCCAAAACAGACCAATCTCAACTAAACCTTCCCAGCCAGGGCTTTGTCAAGCTGGGTCATAAAAGCCACTCAGGATGGAGAGTCCACCCCTCCCTAGATAACCCATTCTAGTGCTTTATTAATTAATCAACATCATTCTTAAATGCAGGCTCTGCTAAAGTAATCCCTGGACTAAAATGCTGCATTTCTATGAAAATACTTGTTTCCAATTACCTTCCCTCTCCTAGCGCATGCACAGCAGTACGGGACTAGACGTTGTATTAGATGGTACTTTTTACATAGAAAAGTGACTCTAGGCTAGTAATTTTTACAGGAAACAGATTGAAACTAGCTAGTTGGGGGTCAGGGACGAGCATGTAATTTTAAAGTCCTATAATTTTATACCAAGATGAATATTTTGCTGCCATTAACCCTAACACAATAGTTGTCTATTTTCCCTGACTCTTCCAACAGCATTCTAACCCAGGACATGCCGGGCCCTTTCCAGTTGTTTCAGTGCACAACAACACTATCAATCCAACTAGTCCTACGACAGCCACCATGGCAAATGCAAACCGTGGTCCAACAAGTCCATCTGTTACAGCAATAGAACTTATTCCTTCAGTCACAAACCCAGAGAATCTACCTTCCCTGCCAGATATCCCACCCATACAGGTTAGTGCGGAAGATGAGCTCATTCTGCTATAGACAAGGTGATTGCCGACTTTCCTTCATCAAATTCAGTTTTCTTCATGTGTTCTTTTGTATTTGCATCATTACTTAAAGCTCGCGATAAGGTGGTTACTGGTTGCGACTGTTCTAAATAGAAAGAATGGAAATTTGAAGTTTGGTGTTGGATATACCAACTGTTGGATCATGCATATCTGCTCAACTTTTAGTTAGTTCTCATTTTGAATTAGACAATGCTTTATGGGGTGATGTAATTGTTAAGATCAATAATTGATACCAGGGCACACTTAGTCACAAGAAAATGTCAGCCTTAGGTGGCTGTTTTTAGTTAGTTATAGCTTGCCTATGCAGGAAAATCACACCAATATCATCAGTGGTATAGTTAAACATCCAACACTTGAATGCAGAGCTAAGGTTGCTAATGGTGCCTCATGCTCTTCCAGAATGTGCAGGGTAGCTACAGAACAACTCCCAAAAGAAGGAAATAGTGAGTTAAAACCCTGATGATCATTTTTATGTTCCGTGCACCGAGGCATGTGCGGATGTGCGCCGCCAGTAGAAACTTACACTGCCAGTTGTGGGCACTGTGGGTGCTCTGCTCATCAGCTGAGTGGTGTTTGAATCTCTTCTGGGAACCAGCCAACCTTTTGGCTTACAAGGAACACTGCCCATACTGCCTTAACTCTGAGCCAAACCCCAGCACAGCAGAAAACCATACTTCTCACTCTGCCCTTACAAATGCTACAGAACTCATAACCGCAGCAGTCCATTTTAGCCATTCCGTTACTGTACTGCCTGCCTGGAAGCTTGCTTGCTTGAACAGATCTCTAATCTTGCTATACATGTACGTTTCACTCTTCTAGGCTTGCCAGTTTGGCACACACTGACTGAGTTACACACGTCACCCTTCGCTTTTTGGTATTGCTTCCCCAAAAGGACAGCGTAATATGTTCTGGCTGAGAGAAATCCTGAGCAACTGAGATCAGTTGGGAAAGCACTATAGCTATTGTTTAAGCCAAGTTGTGTGTGGGGGGGGGGTTACATTTTTTTGTGAAATGCTGTTATGTTTCGGGGGCTGCATCTCAGAATCCACTGTCTCAAATGACTCCAGAGGTGGTCAGCTAACACATCTAATACTTCTGTGGGACACGGCAAGTTTTAGACAGTGAGTATTTGGATTTTAGAGCACTTGGAATAGTCCACCTTTAAATAAAGTAATGCTGAACCTCATCTGGAGCTCAAATACTGATATAATTCCTCATGTGGTCACTCTTATGCCAGTATAAGTGGCTTTTTTCAGATTACCTTAAACTCCTTCCAAAATGACACACACTAAACAAAAGACACTCTTGCAGAATCAGAGACATGTAGGGCTTGAAAAGGACCTCAACAGGCCCTTTAGTCATAAGCTATATTGTATAATTATCGGTTTAAAAGTTTGAGAAGTAGCCATGTTAGTCTGTAACTGAAAAAACTTAAACAACGAATAGTCTTGCAGCACCTTAGAGACTAATAAAACATGTAGATGGTACCATGAGCTTTTGTGGGGACAGTCCACTTCTTCAGATGAATGGAGTTAAGCGGTCCAGGTTTAAATTCATGCCTTAGCTTTCTTCAGGATATCTGCCATATAGACAAGTCCTAACTTAATTAGAACCTGTTTTTGTTTGCTCATCAAATTAAATCATTAACCTTAAAAGCATATCAGAAAAGAGAGAAATGTGCAGAGACTCCAGAACAGCTACAGCACATTTTTGAGGTGATTAAATTGCTGTGCTGTGCTGAAGTTCATTATTGTTGAGCCTTTGGAAAAGAAGAGCTCTCTAGAATATGGCCTTGCAGTTTTAAACTAGCTTAAGAAGGAGTAGCTTATGCCATAATGTGAGCTTAACTAGGTGACTTGAGGTGTTTTGAAAATGTAAAGTCTTCTATAAATGCTACATACACTTTTCATTGTGATCGCTCTAACAGATCTTTCTTCCTTTAGCAAGACAATATGAAACTATTGTTTCCTAACACAGTGAGGGTGATAAACATGTTTTAGTCAAAATAGATTTGTCATGTTAGTTTGAAATGGCTACTATAGGTGTTTTGTACTTGTTTCTAATTTTCTTGTATTAGTAAGAATTCAGATTTTATGTACGTCTTTTTTCCTTTTGAAGTTTTCACAATTATTGTTTGCTGTAAAGGAAGTCTAGTGTTTGTGTCTAGAACAACACAAACTCACAATATTGATAAGCAAGTAGCAGCGCTGTAGTTACAGCTATCACTACCTTTTGACAAACTGAACTTCCCTAGTCAAAGAAATCTGAAATGATTCGACCAGGCTCTACTTTTCCCTTATGATTAGCACCTTGAAGCAGTGGGATTTGTATTTTTAAATCACCTAAATGCGTTTGAAAATCCCATCCTTATGTTCCTAAGTAAGGATTTAGGAGCCAATTATAAGGCTCATATTTTGGAAAAGTAATTGTGAACTTTTTTATAATGTATCAAAAGTCCAAACTTTAACAACCCGAAGCACTTTTATGTTGAAATGACAGCTCTTATGCAACTGAGAGCATTTGTAAAATCATTTTAGCTCTGAGAAGAAAACACTTCTGCGTATGCTTAACTTCAAAAGTATGTCTAGTCCCACTGAAGTCAACTGAACTACTCATGTGAGTAAAACTATACACATGCTGAACAAGAGAAGTCGATTAATAGAACTAGGGGATTAGTTTTCATAAATGTTTATATTTTATTACATATTTATAATATGAAGTTGTAATACACATTTACTAATTGGTTTTACAAAGTCTCAGCCTGATTTAATCAGGGGCATAAAGTCAATGAATTAAATCAGTCATTTAAATTGCCTTGATTTTAAATTGCTGCACTTTGGTGAAATTAGTTTCTTACACAGTGAAGACATTTAAGGGAGTAATTGAAATGCAGACTTAAAATACCAGGCTCCCAAATGTGCTTACCAGTGGGTCTTAACTGATAAGACTAAAACTAAAGCATATCAGAGCATCACAACTTCTAGCACTGTTTTTGTTAGGCTTCATCCATTGTTCAGCATTACCAGAGGTAAGAAATTATCTTGCAGGCACAGAAGTGTTGTCAGAATGGAGGTTGAGATGCTTAGAAAATGAGCATTTAGAAAATATGGTGAATCAGTATTGCTTGTCTTTACTATACTTATTTAATTTATTTAAAATATTTTTACCCCACCTCTCTATTTAAAATATTTGAGGCAGCTTACAACATTTTAAAAAACAATACAAATACATATAACAAATTAAAAATACGAGACTCCAGAAGGACATAAAACTTCCTAAAAAATCTCTAGAAGAGGAACGAACACACTCTTCCCCCACCCCCAATAAAAGCACGAGTAAAAAGGGTGGCTTTAGCTTGATGCCGAAACAATGCTAATATTGGTGCCATGCGAACATCCCGAGGAAGAGAATTCCACAGCCTGGGAGCAAAAGCTGAGAAGGCCCTGCTCTGCATAGATGTTAATCTTATCTCCATAAGTGAGGGAACACTGAGAAGAGCCTCCCTCTCTGACCTCGATCCCTGGGCAGGTTCATATAGGAGGACACAGTCCTTGGATACCCCGCAACCAACCCATTTAGGGCTTTATAGGTCATAACCAAAACCTTTAATTGTGCCCGAAAACATACCGGAAGCCAGTGCAGCTGCCAGAGCACCAGCATAGTATGGTCTGTATAATGAGTATTAGTTAAATGGTAGTAACTGTGTGTTTCCTCATAACTGTTGAGTTACACTGGTGAAAAACACTTGCAAATTTAAATTTGATAAAGCAGTTGTTCGGCTAACGTAATATGTATGTATATTTAATTGTGCATATAGATGAAAAATCTCTTAATGGTTTAATCTCATGACTTCCCCAGGTCAAAGTTTGTTTTTGTTTGGTTTATTTTCAGCTGGAAGATGCTGGTTCAAGTAATTTAGATAACCTGCTAAGTAGATATATCTCAGGCAGTCACCTACCCCCTCAGCCTACAAGCACTATGAATCCTTCCCCAGGACCCTCCGCGCTGTCTCCAGGATCATCAGGTAAATTGCAATGAGGGCAGAAAGTATTCTTTATTTCAAGCTTAAAATAATTGGCAAGCAGTTTCACCAATGTACAAGGAAGTAATACTTCTCTGTTCTTGGTATGTGCACCCACTAGACTTTGGTCATTAAATTGCTTTTCCTCATAAATCAATCCTTCTAGCACTATACCCTTCCCCCCCTCCCCCCAATGATTATTTTATGGGAAGGAAGTGCCCAGAAGGAAACACAATATTCAGTGGCCCGAAAAGGAACCAGCACATCTTTGTGCTCGGATGTTTACCTCTATGTTCCTCAGAAGTCCATTGGTCCTTTTTGTTACCATATTACCTTGGCAGCCTTAGATCTGAGTCCACGTTCAGTATGAATATTTTGACTTATGAGGCCCTGGCCCATTCCAGGCTTAATGAAGGGAATTTACTGAATTATGTTAGATGCTTCACTTAAGGATAGATCCAGAGTCACACAAGGAGCTTGCTATTTCTGCAAGCCTTTTTAGAAGTGCATGTTGTTTTTCTTTGCGTGTTTGCTCATATCAATTCCAGTTAGATGTTCACACAACACACGCATGGCTGTTGGAAAGTCTTACCTTTGCCAACTACCCGTCGGTTCAGCCATGGAGCCCCTGGTGTGGCACACTATAGAGAAACCTGCTGATCCAGACACTCTTCAGTTCCTTCTTACCCCCAGGAAAGGCTGTTGGAACTGTGGCTCTCCTGCACTGCAAGTGCCACATGGCCTCATGCTGATAGTATGTTAACAGTAGATATTAGCAATCCAAGCAAGATTCGGCAGTCAGCATGGCTGAGCTCAAGACAGCAACTCATTGACTCCCACCTCTCCTTCTGGGTAAGGCCTGTGAATCACCTAATTGGAACTGATAAGAGCAAGCTGTTGAAGAAGAAACAGTTACTCACCTTTTGCACCTGTTATTGTTTGTGTCCATTCTAATACCCACCCACCTACCCCTTTGTTGGAGTAGCCGGCAAGAAGGAACTGAGGGCAGCTGGGGCATTGGGATTGCATATAGCCTGCTGTACTAGTGCCTTTCCAGAGGGCTCCACAGTCAACCTTTTGGATAGGTACTGGGCTAAAACTTTGACAGCTATGAACGCAGTTCGCATACACACCTAATTGGAATAGCTACAAGCAAAACATGTAAAAAACCAACAATTACAAAAGGTAATTAACAGAGGTTTTTTTAAACGGGCCTTTTGTTCTACTTCTGAACAAACACATTGCAGAAATCACCTAAGATGCCATAATGGAAATGGCCATTTCAAAGGTACTGGACACAAAACTGCTTCAGCAACTCCATGCTGTTCTTCCCGTCATTTCACCCTTTCTCTGCAACCCTCCAAGCTTTGCTCTGAGTTGAGTTAGTGTATGCTTACAACACAAATGTATGTTCTGTAAGCTCACTTGCAAAATGCATGCCATGGGTCTATTATTCTACTGACTTTATTTGCAATAGCAAACAATCCAACTATGTTAAAATGGAGGGAGAGGGGGTGGAAAGTTGGTTCTCAAATGAGTTGAAAATACAACTAGAAACTTAAATCACAAGTGTGACAACTTTAGTTCAAAGACTTGCATTTATTTGCAACAAAAGTTGGTAGTGACGACTGGATCAAGATAATTCATAGATTAAAAATAAGGTATTTAGGTCAGGAATATGGCTGTCTTTTAATTTGCATTAATGTAAGTAGTTACTGGGATTCTAAATGAAAATGCAATTGACACAGAAATGCAAAAGTGCCAGATCCTGTATCAGAACTGCTTTTCTGTGTTTGTGCAAAGGACTGAACTAGCAGCGGTTCTCAGCTGGGGAAGATGTACTGTTGGGAATATATAGGGGTCTTGTTTATACTGCATTATATACAGGTTGAGCATCCATGGTCTGGCATGATTTTAGTTAGCCAGATGTCCACTTGCCATGGGTGTGACCAAGTTTCCTGCAATCCCATAAAGTTTGTTTACAACCACCAGTTCTGGCTCTCTATGTTCTGTGCTGTTGCTCAGCTCTAATTTACCCCTAAATGTCCTGTAAGAGCCCAGCAAGCAGTGGAAGTGTTGGTAATGCTGTTAGATAACACTGACCTCCTGTGGTTCAGCAAATTCTCTGGTTTGGCACTGGTCAGGTCCTGAGAGTGAACCTCTCTAGTCCCGCAACCTTCAACCTGTAGTAGATACTGTGAAATGGAAATAGAATATTTACATTCCACTAGATTTATAACTTATATATATACACGCGCGCGCACACACAGAGTCAAAATGAGAGCAGTTTTTCAGTAATTACATACCATGACATTTCTGGTTTTGTTTGTTTTTTGAAACAAGTATTTTGAAGTGAAGTGAAACTTAAAGGGTACATTAGTCTTGAAAGGTTGACAACCACTGAACTAAGGATCACTGACTTGCACAAATCACTGGCTTATTCCATTTAGTGTCACTTTAATTCATGTTGCTTCATAACACAAGTTACATGTGACCTACTGTAGATATAATGAAAGGCAATTTATACTTTTTCAGGGTTATCCAATTCCCATACCCCAGTGAGGCCACCTAGCACCTCCAGCACAGGCAGCAGAGGCAGGTGAGTATGTTTTTAGTTTGTGTTGCTGAAAAGTGAAATGTAAAGAATATGGTAACAGCAAGTCACTATTAGCTGCTGTTATAACTATGACCTGTTAGTGGAGGAGTGAATGTATCTAGCATAATAATCACCGAAGAATCATGTTGCCAGAAAGTCTGTCGTCTTTAAAATGTAGGCATCAGAAAATTCAAAGTAATAGTTTGGGCTTTAAAATGTTCAGTTACATTTTTAATAATAGAAATCTAGGACTGGAAGGGATCTTGAGAAGTCAAGTCCACTCTGCACTGAGGAGGCAGGGCTAAGTAAATCAAGATCATCCCTGACAGGTGTGTTGTCCATTTCAACTGGAACTAAGCTTTCTGTGTATCCTTGGTTCTTTCTAGTTGTGGTTCTTCAGGCAGAACTGCTGAGAAGACTGGCATTAACTTCAAGTCTGACCATGTGAAAGTCAAGCAAGAGCCCGGGACAGAGGAAGATCTATGCAGTTTCTCAGGAGCAGTGAAGCAAGAAAAAACAGAGGATGGCAGGAGGAGTGCATGCATGGTACAGTTGCTTTATGAATCACGTTACCCCTCCCCAATGGCATCTTTAAGAATATGGAAATCTGTAAATGGTGCATAAGAACCCTTATAGATAAAAGGGCAAAGTACCCAGACCCAGTTATTTCCTAAACACTACGGGTGAGTTCTACAGAAGAGGGGACATTTCAATTGCCTTGGGACATCTACTGAAACTACAGCTGAGGCCACTATCTGTGTTGCTGGGTTTACTGATGTGGACATCAGCCTAGTGGCAGATAGACTGGGATCTCCACTTGTTTGATACATGCCCCCATATAGACAGCAGATTGTAGCAATTACTGAGCTGGGTTGGATTTGACCTGGTACCTTGTGAGAAATGTGTCCTAATCCACCAAGTGTCACACATGTTGCTGTCCGTGGAAGCTGTCCAGTGGAGATAAATTGGAGCTTAATCTCATTGGCCCTTTGCTTAAGACTTGGTTTTGTCCTTTGGTATACGTGCCGAACATCTGATCTGTCAAGCCAGAGGCAGGCCGCCCCCACCCCCCCATGCTGTCTTTGGCATCTCAGTAAAACTACCATCAAGAGTTTAGTATGTTGATTGTTTTTAATCTCTAATAAAAGCTTCTGATAAGTCAGTGGCATGTTCTCTCTCAATACATTTATTGAATGTTTGTAGCTCTATTAAAGTCCTGTGCACTTAAGCAGAGAAAATAAGGTTCAGTCTCCCAAATACATAAGCCAGGTTTCTAAATAGATTTAGAGGAATGAGCTCATTGTGAAACTTGCAGTTGGATGCAGAAGAGTGCAAGAGAATACAGCAGGACTACCCAACTCTGGTGGATAATGGAAAGGAATTGTATGCTGGGAGAGGGACAAAGGGAATTAATCATCCTAAGATCTTTCTTTAAAAAGATAAGTACAGAAGAGTGAAGTCTTAAAGACTACTGGGGAAGGGCAAAAAGTTTTATTCTCCATGAAAGTAGTCAGTGGAAATGGATCATCCCATACCAGGCTTGGAGACTCATGGCGCAGGAGTATGTAACTCCATTAGCCGAGGAGGAATTGCCAGTATTTGTTTTTTGGGAAGCATTTTAGTTTGCAGTACTAGTGCTAGCCAGCAGCAGAGGCTTCTGATTTCTAGCACCTTAGGAAAGATGAATTTGTAAAACTGATCTCTTTGCAGACTTTCATGTAGTAATTTTATTTCAGCTTAGCAGTCCTGAGAGCAGCTTGACACCACCCCTCTCCACTAACTTGCATCTGGACAGTGAGTTGGAAGCATTAGGAAGTCTTGAAAATCATGTAAAAGCTGAACCAGCAGATTTAAGTGAGAGTTGCAAACAGTCTGGACATAGTCTTGTAAATGGGAAATCTCCAGTGAGAAGTCTGATGCATCGGTCAACTAGAGTTGGGGAAGGCAACAACAAAGAAGATGATCCAAATGAAGACTGGTGCGCTGTATGCCAAAATGGAGGCGATTTGTTGTGTTGTGAAAAGTGCCCAAAAGTGTTTCATCTCACTTGTCATGTACCAACACTTCTCAGCTTCCCAAGGTACCAGAAATTAACACATTACTGGTTTTGTGGGCTTACTCTCACCATGAAACTCAATATCACAAGAGGATCTGGGACTTGAGTGCCCAGGAATTGCATTCGAACTTCTCTAGCATGTAGATTGCCTTCGTTCTTAGGATTTATTTTTGTGCTGAATCAGTCAGTATTTCCAGTGACTTGTAAAATCGTGCTCAGAATTCTTAGTGAACACATGAGTAAAACTTATACTGTGATACGTACTAAGTTAAAAGGAGTCTTGAGGTACAGTTTGACTTTTGAAAGGCTTAGAAGTTATTGAAACTTCAAAGTGGTCACATAGTAGATGTAATCTCTGGTGGATTCCTGGACTAATTGTGTGTCTTCCTATTTAGTGGGGAGTGGATATGTACATTCTGCAGAGATCTAAGCAAACCTGAAGTAGAATATGATTGTGACAATTTGCAACATAGTAAGAAGGGGAAAACAGCACAAGGCTTAAGTCCTGTGGACCAAAGGGTATGTGTCAAATACTGTAGGTATCTGCATCTAAAAACCGCCTAATTTTTGATTAACTGATTTGTTATTAGTCATCCCTATATTTTAGCTGTAGTTGTCCAGTAGGTTAAAATTTCTGAGCGCGCACAGCTAATAAAATATATTAAGATTAGCTTTAAATGTGAGTCAACCTTCTAAAAATTTGTAATTGAAAGTTCTTTTGTGGATTTAACATGGTTGTTTTAATCTACTGACATAATATGTACATTTGATGCCTTAAATTCATGGGGAAATGTGTTGGTAGGTATTTCTAAGAGCATATGTATAACAAAATGACCATTGCAAAATGATAGCGAGTCTGATATGGAGACTCTCTAAAGTGTTTTGACGTCATCAATCAGAGTAGTCCTTAGATCTTCTTCACCATGAATACATTTTTCAGAGGAACTTATCAACAAATTGAAATAAGGAAATGTTTGAGGGGAAATATAAAAAAAATTATTTGAATGGAATTTTAGATTGCTTAATTCTGGCTTTATGAATAAAAGTTCTGATCTAAATGTAGTTCAGTTGCATTTAACAGTATGAATAGTAACATTGTCATTAAATGTCTACTAGTATCTCTGTTCTTACTAAATTATTGCCTTGTGCAAATTTTGTTGGAACTCCAGCTTTCTTTTGGGGAAAGGAAAGCAAAAAAAGGAGTCAAGAGGTTTAGTATTAAGTATATTATGCTAGCCAAAATAAAGGCATATTTCCTTCTCTAACCATACACACTTTATCAATTTCAGAGGGGTAGCCGAGTTAGTCTATAACTGGAAAAACTTAAATGAATGGTCTATCAGCACCTTAAAGATTAACAAATTGTGTAGATGTTTATCAGTGTTAGCTTTTACATACTTAAAATGAATGAAGAGGTTTCTAGGCTTGAAGAACTTTATTTTCTATAAATATGACTATATAGTCTTTGCCTATGTAGATATTAGTTTACTGTTAGTTTTTAGATTGCGGATTAAAAAGCGATATTCACTTGAAGTTTTTTGTTCCTTTGCAAGAAATGTGAACGTCTCCTGCTATACCTATATTGCCATGAGCTGAGCATTGAATTCCAAGAGCCAGTCCCAGCCTCGGTGAGTCTCCCACTACATGAAACTATGGAAAACATAAAATGCCAACAATGTCTCCAAAAGGCCACCATTGTGACAAGTTCTTGGTGTTTTTTTGAATGAGTTGCTTACTCTTGCAATAGACACTAGGGATGTTAGGGTATAGACATTTAAACAATTAACCAATAAGCCTGGGCTTATTGGTTAATCAAAACGACTACACACAAGCAACCCCCTTGCTGCCTCTGTATTAGAGGCAGCAAGGGGGGGCGCAGGAGCTGGTGCCTGTGGGAAGCCGGCTCCCACAGGGGCAGCAAGGGGGGTTCTTGGGGGAGCAGCATCTCCTAGCTCAGGCCTCCCCACGAACAGGTTCCACCTACTACCCTGCACTGCTGCATCTGATAGAGGCAGCAGCAGTGTGGCAGGGGATTCCCCCAAGAGAGGGGCTGGGAGCACCGGCCCCATGGGACCATTTTGAGTAACTGTGTAACGAATAAAAATGGTTGTGGTTCTACATGATTGCTAAAGTACACACAAATCTAACATCCCTAATAGAGATGTTTTAGGAGTAAAACCAGACCAAAAATGTCACTAGTCGTACCTAACATGGTACTCCTGAACCATTACACTTATTAATTAAGAAAATCCTTTCCAGTAGCTATAGCTGAATGAACAGGACAGGGTTTGGGATACTGAATAAACCACAAAATATTGTAATATTGGTGGTTAGCAAGGGGCTTTAACAGAGCAACCATTTGAATGAAACACAAATCTGATCTGTGTTTTGAGATGTAAAACAAGCGAAAACAAGCGATTTTAATGATTCTAGGAATGATGGTCTAATATGGGGAGGGCAATAAGCAGTTCACCAGGGTTAGCCCTTGATGGGCTGCTGGACACTTCATTTACCTGCACATCCACATCCACAGGTAAATGAAGCATCTGGCAAGCTCCCAGGGGCTAACCCTGGTGAACCAGGTCTGGCCTGCAGGTCACTTAGTGCCCATTCTGGTCTAATATCCTCTTTCTTCTTAAGTTTGTTTCTTAAATGCTAATAATCGACTCTGAAATATAAGAAAAAAGTTGTGTTAATAGAGGCTCTGCCCTCTTTTCTTCCCCCATAAATGGAGTCATTGTCTTCTGATTGTTTCCTCGTATTCATGTTGTAATGGGGCTCCTGGATTTTAATACACTCATGTTAAGTAGATTAATTCTCCTGCTGTGAAGTATAAAGATTGCACATCAGTCTTTTTTGGTGGTTTATGATTTGGTTTACGCTTTCTTCACAGATACCAAACTACTATAAAATTATAAAGAAGCCAATGGATTTATCTACAGTAAAAAAGAAGCTCCAAAAGAAACATTCCCAGCACTACCAAACTCCTGATGATTTTGTGGCAGATGTCCGGCTGATCTTCAAGAACTGTGAAAGGTTTAATGAAGTATGTTAACTTCCAAACTGTAGATTTTTTTTTTTTTTTAAAGATTATGATTTTACCTAGGCCTGATCCCACAGCTGTCTCTCACAGAACTCCACTTGGCGGTCTGTGGGTACTCTATTTGTGGAGCAGATGCAGAGTCGGTCCCTTTATAAGTAAATACAAACCAGTTAATTACAGATCTTGCTTTTGGTTTTAGTTAGAAGGGACTATAAAGGGCTCTGAAGGAAAACTTTTACATGTGTTGGTGAGAAGGCGAGGTCTCTGAAGTAGCTGTACATATGGTTCAGATTCATGATGTAGTTATTTGCTAAGGCCTTCTGGGTGGCCCATCATCACTGGACAGTCACCATATCTGAGAACCATGGTGTGTAAATTGAGCAGTCCCTGCAATAATTCAAATTGTGCCACTGGAATATGCCATTAATGCTTTACCAGTATTATGCCATAAATACTACTAAGGGATAAAGTCCTACACCACTAAGGAAAAAAACTGCTCTAGAGCTTGTCTTTTTTTTTAAGCTCCCCGTCAGGTTTTCATAAATGTAAGCAGAGCCCCAACATTTCTGGCAGTTCTCTTTTGGCTCTATCGTGACACGGAAGCAGTCCTCAACTGGGTAGCCCACACAGGAAAGTAATAGTTCCAGGAACTGTGGGTAGTTCACCAGCATCAGTGGGACTTTTTGCTCACCAGTTATTCACATGAAGAGGTGAAGGATGCCAACTCCTTAGAGGAGGTACCATGTAAGGTGGTGTGGAGAGAATAGCAGTAATAAAGTGGAACAAAGAAAAAGAAAACTTTCTCTGATTGTCACAAAGTCCTTGATGCCAAGCCTTCTAGAATTTGGATTAGTCCTGGAGAGATGTGGGGGGAATGACCAGCTCTTGAACATTTGAAGCAAGATCACATGAAGGCCTGGAGAACAAACTATAGGTAATGGTCTTGCATGAGCCTGAGCAATGGTGAAATGACTTTGAAAGTTTTCAATCTGTAACTTCAGATTTCTGAGGTATAAAAAGCATTTGTCCACTACACAGATTAAACAAACCTATTTTTAAAACTGATTGAGCCCCATATAAAATACTGGGATAATGTAAATAAGTGTTAAAACAAGTTTTGGGGTGAAGCCCTTTTCCCACATGATAGGTTTAGACATAAGCACTTGGGACCTGACTTCTTTATAACCATCTGTCAGGTGCAAGTTAATGGGGAATATGGAAAAAGTGTGTCTTAGGAACCATTTGATCCAGGGAGTGAGTGAAGCCTTCACTCCGGAAGAAACCATTTCTACTTCTCTTGAAAAGTATAGTGTAACTATTGTAAGAATAGCAGGGAAGCTCCGGGGAACAGTGGTTCTTTAAAAGGGCTCTTCAGACTGGCATCTTAAGGGCTGATTATGGAAGCTAAGGCAATCTGACCACTCATCACTATGGATGCAGTTTTGTCTCAGAAAATGATGCATAATTCACAGTATGGTCATGGTTTTTTAAAAAAAGGTAATTTGGTGGTGATCTTGAGGCCCCTTCTCCTGTGCATTAACAGTTTAAACTCACGTTGGGCTAGTCCTCTTTGAAACAGATGTAATTCACAGACAATTACCAAACCTTTAATGCAGGGTAGCAAGCTCCTTGTGAAATGTTCATTAGTTGGCTGTAATCTAGCCTCTTTCAAAGAGGACTAGATCACAGCAAGCTAATGAATTGATAACGTGGCAGACGGCTCTGTATAAATAGCGAAATTTTCAATTCCATGACAGTGGTGACTGCCACGACATAATCCAATCCTTATTCATGATACAGGTCCAGATACAGTTACTGCATTTCTATAGCTTGACACAAGGAGGTAATCAAAGAGGAAATGGAACCTGCAAGAAAGCACACTCATTTCTTTTATAGACAATATTTACACAGGAGCTATTTTGTTACGAAACACAGAACACTTACTTACCATGATAGTCTGGGCACCTGAACTTTTATTATAAAGGAATGTTGTTGTGAGTGTTTATTATCATGTGCTTTAACATGACTGGGAGCTGCTTACTATTCGATAATTTCATATCCTGCCAAAGGTTCATGAAACAGATTTAGAACCAGCCTTATAAAGAGGGTGGCCTATATTTAATTGAATTTTAGAGCTGTACTGATTTGGTCATAACAATCTGTTTTTCCTGTTATGGCTAACTGTAGTCATCCGACCCTTTGCAATCTCATAACTTTAGAAAGGATTATAATTTCATTTTTTTTGACTCTGGTATCCTTTTTAGATGATGAAAGTTGTTCAAGTTTATGCAGAAACACAAGAGATTAATTTGAAGGTAAGCTTTTCAGACCACGCACACTTGATGAAGGGATGTGCATTACCAACAGGTGAATATTCCTTTTTTTATTTGCAGGCTGATTCAGAAGTAGCACAGGCAGGGAAGGCAGTTGCATTGTACTTTGAAGATAAACTTACAGAGATCTACCCAGACAGGACCTTCCAACCTTTGCCTGAATTTGAGCAGGAAGAGGATGATGGTGAAATAACTGAGGACTCCGATGAAGATTTTATACAGCCACGTAGAAAACGTCTAAAATCAGATGAAAGACCAGTGCATATAAAGTAATCTGATGATATGGACCTAAACCTATTGTAAAAACTGTTATTTAAGTGTTCCTGGAATATTATCATGCCTTCAGTGGTCATTTTGAAGAAGCTGATAGTTTTTAGACAGTATTAGATTACAAAAATGTGTACAGAAACATTCTTGTCAACGGGGGAAAAGTTTGGTTGTAATTTTGGGGAGGGTTGGATTACTTGAAATTCCTTTTCTTTTCCAGAGGTCTCTCTTGGCATGTTCTCACAAATAGAGGTGGGTGAATGTTGATAAAGATGCAGAGTTGATATAGGATGCTCCTTGTACAGATATGTGGACTGTCATACTGATTAGTGATCTTAAGTCTGGACCAATACAGCAACTGTATATCACTTCCATGATGGACTGCTGTCTAAACTGTAAGAAAACTTTGCTAAAAATCAATCCCCTCTTGTGTGAACTTAAGTGTGAATTGCATCATTGCTTTTATCTTCCCATTTAAGTGATGTTGTGAGTAACTGATCTTCTGTGTTAATTCTAGATTCTGCTTTCTTTCCAACTTTTTATGTATAGAAACATTACAAATGATCATTAAACTCTTCTGAATTGGCAAGTGCAGGAGTGTGAGTTCTTAATACATGCAGAGCTAAGCCTGGTTGCAATGAATGTTTTCCGTAGGATTCATGCATATTTATTAATGGAATCTTACGCACAGGACCCTTACAGGCATTTCTAGTTGAAATTCTTAGGATTTTATTGTCTCGTCTAAATCTCCCTGCAGAGACAGATAGTGCCAATATTAGTTATATAGTTTTCTGTACATACACATTTAGACTGAGAAGGTAATTAGTGATTTTCCAGTCTTCCTTGATATCAGTTTCTGATAGACCACTATTGGCAAAAAATAACCTGACTACCAAATGTGTAAAATTTTCTGTATTCACTTTGTCTTATTTGTAAATAGTGGACTGAAATTTTCTGCAGATCGGCAACATTTGCTGAGCTGTTTTTAAGCTTATATGTATTCTTACTAATGTTCCTATCAAGAACAGATTTGTAATATATGCTGTCTATTTTTAACATTGCATTCATACTGAGCTTCTATCTTATTTTATTAGAAAACTACTCAGAACTTTCTTCAGAAGCAGCTTATAAGTGAAATATCTGGAAAAAATAGAATAAACCTGTTGGAATTTGGTTACTTATCCAGCCACAAAATGGAGCACTTGCACAGACCTGGGGTTGAAAGGTTGAGTGATTTCTAGTTGCATTCTGAAAACAGATTACTCACTATCCAAGCTCTGTTTCAAATAGGCATCTATGTTCTACCATCCCACTGAAAATTGCCTTGATTTCAGCATTTGTGGGTAGACAGACCTGTACAATGAGCTAGTTAAAACTTCCTCTGACATGATCTGCAAGGATGGGCACCAAGAAATGTCATTGTTAGCATTTGCATGGAATAATTTTGTCACAATAATATGGAACAGTCCTGTGTGTGAGTGCAAACCAGATCAGGATAACCAGAATGTAAACTTGCTATAAAATTTTGCTAAAATACTGCAGATCAATGGCAAACGTTTTGGGTTTTTTTTTTACATTCAGCACGATTGATTTATATGACAAAAACCACATGTAAAGAAAGATTTATCTTAACCATAAAATAGAGGTAAATATTTTTAGCAAAAAAGTATTGATTCATCAAATCTTAAAAATGTATTTATACACAACACTTAGGATTAAGTTTCTTCTTACATAGTCATAAAAATGAATTCACATATGACCAAAATCCCTTCTAAAATATGGAAAGGGATTTGAAGGCATTGACAGTTCTTACTTCCTTGGGTTACACTTTAAACTTGAACAAAACTGTTGGATTCATTTTGTGTTTTTGTTCAAACAATGTTTTCCTCAGAGGATTTTGTCTCATGTAGCCATTATAAACCATTTACATTTTAATGCCAAAAGTAGTTACCCAATTTCTTGTAAAACCTACAAGTCTTTGAGTGTCAGTAGGAAAGGGTGGGAAATATGCATGGGAAATTCTAATTTTGGTAAGATTAGCCCACTCTGACTATTCTCCTTCCTTGCGCAGTTTCTAGTTTATCATCTCAGAAAATCTTGTCCATTTGAAAAGAATATTCACTATTAAAATTACAGTGAAAAATGAGATCTCATGGATTGTCTTCAGTTTGTGTTGCCAGTTTTTATGGCATTTAAACACACTGTTCTGTAGATATATTAACATTTTGAAATAACATCTTGGACAATTTATTCTAGTTCCACTCCACATAAGCAGGTAGATTCTCTTTGAGGCATTTTGTTAAATGTTAACAAAGCTTGTATTCCATTAGTTCCATCTACTAACCATTGCTAGTGACACTCAGCTTTGATCTTCAAGTTTTATTCTTGCACATTATCCAGTAAACTTTAAAAAGTTAGTTTTTCCTTTCATCTCTGCAGATGACAATAAAGATTATTTTGCTATTGATGTTTATATGACATTTTGAACTGTTGGCAAGAAACCTTAAGTTTTCTTATCTTGTGTACAACCAAAAGAGAACAGTCCAATTAAGTAAATGAGAACAGAGAACAATCAAATCAAGTTAAGTTTTCATTCTTTTCTTTCCTTTTGACACTCCAAATATATTAAATCAGAGTAACACTTCGGAATTAGCTAGATTCCATTCATCAGTGATGCTGACAGATATATAAGCTACATTTAATCTATTTTTTATTCCCTTAGACTGTGATCATAAATTTATCCTAGAACTGTTTGAGTTCACTCAGCCAGAATGTATTTGTGCCCAGTTACATTTATTCTATTTAACAGCAAATTGTTGAATTTTATATATTAACATCTGGACATGTTGGGAGCAGCCTCTGTTCAGCAGTTAATGGGTACTGAAGGATACGTGTGCAATAGACGCAAATAAAAGTTGAGCTACACTGGGATTTAGAAACATGCCTTACGTTAAGGATGAGCCTAGGAGCAGATAGTGGGGGTGCACTGTGCATGCATCATTGTTGTATATGCTCAGTTGCAATGTTCTAATGTGATGGCAAGAAGATGCTTTGGCATGTGATGTAACAGTATGCTCTGATTTTTAAATGCTCCTGTAAAAAGATCATTCACATCTCACTTTTTGTTGTAAATGGTTTTGAGGTTTAAGTTAATCCAAAGTAGTATAAAGCAACTTGCTTTGAAACAGGAGTGAAAAGTGTACAGCATACTAATTGTGGACTTCTCAATTACCTCAGCAGGTATCCTGCCATATAATTACTAGTGATTAATGTTAATTTAACCAGCTACATAGATTCAGGTCTCCTAACTGTGCCCTGGAATTAAGTGGCCTACCATATAATGTTAAGGCTGAGTTACTATCCAAAAAAGGATGTTCCTCCAATTTTTGAGTAGAAATGCTCTGTTAAAGGTAGATAGCTTGTTTCTTGTGAAATATCACCATTAATACTATGTGGTGTGGCATCGATGGAATGTCAGAATACTCAACACTGGATCAATGAAATGTTTTATAAACATTTCCACAAGCTACCAGAACTGAGATCTTTAAAATTAACCCAAGCTTAACCATTCTGTTGTATAGCCTAGTTTGTTAGCTGATCCTATTTAAGCTTAGGTAATGGCAACAGTGTTTTAAAGTTGTGTGTATGATGTACTGGATGTAGGCTTTTTTTTTTTGTTATTCTCTTCCTTGGAAAAAGCAATAAACTGCTTTGTCTGTTGCCTATTAGCATGACAGGAATCCTTTCCTTTGGATAGTGATTTTATAGGAAAGTTTGTATGCATATCACCAAGTCTAGCTTTTAAAACTAAAAGTGTGCAGGAGTTATTGACCATATAGTGTGGCATTTTATTTTAAAAATTGGGGAAAGTTACATATTTTTTTAAAAAGTAGGTGTTTGAGTAAATAATGGAGGTACTTTTTTAACAAATTTATATGCCACAGTTTACATAGACCTATTTCAAACTAAACATATACATTATAACTTCAGATACGGCAATTTCTTTGTCAAGGTGCATGTACAGTAACACTTCCATCTTATTTTCTTGTGTTTGCCTACTAGTGTGTTTCTTCTTGTGTTTTTAATGTATCTGAATCAAAATAGTTTTCAAAATTTGCAGTTAATGCAGATATCTTTATTGTATTATTACATGTATGAAATGCAGTTTTGCCCTTTTCTATTGAATGATCTTTATAACTGAAGGCTGCTTTCTTTAAAATTAACTGAATTTATAAGGAAAGGTACTAAAAGAATTCTATAAGTCTGATTTATTATAGCCTTCCCTCTAAAAAGTGACACAAATTTAAAGGAATAAAATAAAATACATGACTGGTAATGGTCTGCAAATGCGAACATTTCTTAAGTTCAGAACATCATGAAACATGTATATAGCATATAAAGATTTATGCAGTCACAAGCTTGTTTTAATTTTATACGTAAGCATATTCATGGAAGAGTTAAATTCACAGCAATCTCAATAATTTCTTGTTTCCAGCAATTAAACTGGTATTCTTTTTGCACATAGATAATTTTGCTCATCCTTCAGTATGATTCTTCAAAAAGTGCTGTTTGTGATATTGTATTCTCTGAATAATCATATTTAACTTTTTTAACAGTTACTGTTTCTAATTGTTCCGTTCCTGTGTTTTTTGCTGGTGTGTAATAAAGGCAAGTTTTTTCTTTTCATGATTATTTAATACATTAGCTGCCTGTAAATATTTCTTGTTAAATGCTCTGGAATGTGATGTAGAAGTTGTATTAGATCAATTTAAAGCATTGTTTAAAAACCACTTTGTTTTGGTTATTTCTATTAAATTAGAAAAATGCAGAATCTTTCCATCTGAGTTTCTTTTTTGCAAATCTGAACTAGACCTTAAAGCACAAATATGTTTTGATGAGTCACTTTCATGATAGTGGGAAAGAAACAGAACAGAAGTTTGTACATATAAAAGTAAACTCCACTGTTGGGCAAGACTTAACAAAGAAGAGAGCTGTATCTGGAGCATGAGCTAAAACAGAACAAGGTATAAAGCACATTCCTAGCATTGTTTTGGCTAGTGGTCCTTATTTCTCTCTGGGTTTTGCCATATAACTTTCCGTTATGGTTTATGTATGTATTCCTTTGCAATGAAAATAGATTGCATAGGACTAGTGTTCCTTCTAAGACTTTCCTCCCATGAGCGGAGTGAGTTTTGTTTTGTGCACCAGTACTGAGTTCATGTGCGCTTGTTTGGATGTGTGCTAGTGTGGCACGCAAGTTATTAATAAATATCTCATAAACCCCTCCCTTTTCCCTCTGCTGCCATGTCTCCTCCCCCCCCATCTGCTCCCCTGGTG